GATTCTGATGAAGAAAGAATGGAAGCATAAAGGCACTACTATAAGGCACAAGTGTAGGCTAGGGCTCAGGAAAAAAGTTTTTTTCTCTACATTCTGCCTTCCAACTTGGTATGTAGCTTATTTGTGGGGCATGTGGCATGCAAGAAAATACAGAATTAGGGCCTTGTTACATGTTCATTTTAGACAGCTCCTGGATCTTTGAACCCCTGGACTGTCCACACATGAACACGTGAAAAATGTAAGCACTCTAGCTGACATAAAGTTTTGCCATTCCAGCCTAGGAGTATCTCTGATCCATGTTATTATCCAATTTATGTTACACTAATGTGTAGCCACTCTAAACTACACATTAGTGTGAACACCCCACTTGCCCCTCTCCTCCACTGGCCCAGATTGGGTCCACTGCCCCTCCACCCTCCCCAGCACAGCAGATCCCCACTCACTGCCTCCCACCCACTCCCACACTTATCTGTGGCTGCCTGCACTATCTGTTCTGGAGAAAAGCAACAGCCCAGTGGCAGTAGCTGGACACGAAAGTTAACCCTTTCAAGCCAGTTTCCCCAAAACAAATAACACAGGCAGCTACAAGTAAATAGGTGGGGGAGATGGGGGAACCCAATGGGCGGGAGGGGGCAGGGGGTTGCCCCTTGCAGTCCTCCAGGCCCCTGCTGGACTAATGTGTGACAGCTCCAAACTTGAGCTAGCACCAACACCAAGCAACATTTGTGTTATGTGTAATGTGTAACAAGGCCTTTGGAAGCTCCTTATTTGAACATATATTTTGGAGCAAGATCCAAATGGATGATCACATAAAAAGTTAACAAAAGTTATCTTTTAATATTCCTCAGTGACCATTTCCAGGTTTTCTGGGATAGCAATATTTCACACTCATGTTTTGTCCAAGAAAACTCTATTTATGTTCCTTAACATGTAAGGTAAGTAAAAACAAGACTTTTAAATTATCTTCTGGGATTATGTGTTATTTAAAGTGGGGGCAAAAAAGAAGTTGAGTCTATTGATTCAGAGAGACCACATCTCCTTTTGATGTACCTGGTATAGTCTTTGCCTAGTAATCATTGCAATGTGAGCAGTGGAAATGGATGGGACATACAGAAAATAAAGTCTTTAAAAGAACATTTGATGTTAAAAATGGGTAAGTTAAGTTAAATTTTATATTGATATTTTTTCCAGTAACTGTTTATGAAAACTAAAAAAAAATCATGAAACAGCTATTTAATGTAGGAAGCACATTGTCTGAAGAGAGAAATCTTTCACCTTTCATATTTATCAGAGAGATGAGTATCTGTGTCAGTCTGAAGTTAGGTAAGGGTGACACCTTAGAGACTTCCTAATCCAGACAGACATGAGTTTTTGCAGAGAATAACCTACTATGTCAGATGCTTAAGTGGATATTATTAAAAAAAGAATAAGTATGTTTGGCCAAAAGTGTATAGCACAGGCCCCCCAATTTTCTGTCTAGCCCACTTCAGCCTCCCTCCTTGCCCCCATCAGGAAGAGGCTGGCATCACCCTTGGCTTCAGGACTGAACTCATAGCCTAAGTGAAATCAATGGGAATATTGACACTGATTTAGCTGGACTGGGATTTCATTGTCCTTTTTTTTTTAAATCATGCTTTGTTTGTTACTCTTCAAAACTTTGCTCTATTCTTATGTCCTAAACCCTCACAGACTTTCTCTTCCTTCAACTGCCTCCTGTAAATCAATTGGAACAAGCAATCCCTTCTTTTTATTATCAATATCCACAGTGTTTTCTCTCTCCTGGACTGCTTCCTTCTTTTTTCATTTGTATGTGTTTGGCTTATCTTATTCAGATTGGAAGGATTTCAGAATAAAATAAGATCTTTTCTTCTAAATGGTTGTTAAATTTATGGTGCTCTATATATTTTTTTTGAAGATGAAATAAAAAGGAAAACAAATTATAGTCTCAAGTTATAATCCAAAATAATTTAGTGTTACTTCAATTAATGTTCAAAAAGTATGCATTTTAATGGTAGTGGCATGCCTATTTACTATTTAACTATAACACCACTACATTTTCACTTATTCCCTCCTACTTTTTTTAAACCTATTGCTTTCCTCATATTTTTTGTAATACTGTTGTCAAAAGCAATTCCCACTTATAGTACCAAATATTAAAATGCTTTCTGGCTTTATTACAGTTAAGCTGACCTTTTGCCATAGTAGCAATCCTAAGTAAAACTGAGAAGGAAATGTCTTTTTTTTTTTAATCTAGTGAAACTTTTTGAGCTATTTCCTTTTTCATCTTTGTTTTTAATCAACAAACAAAACACAAAAATCTCATCCAGTTAACCAGCCAACCAAAGCCAGTCTCTACCTGCCTTATTTAGTCAAGAATTTTTTTCCTGGGCCAGATAATCTATACTTTAAAAAGTTCAACTGAAACTGGTATGTTGTGATTAAAAGTTTTAGTTTTGACAAGTAAGAATTTTCTGGAAAAGATGAAAAAGAAAAAACATTTAAAAAAAATGTCCAAACAAGCTCTAATCTCAAATTCATAAATGCACAAAAGATTCTAGAGACAATAGTGCAAGCCTTTGTCCTCACAGATGTATCTTTCTCTGTCTTATATAAAAAACTACCTCTATAACAGATTGCTTTGATTGCTTGAACAATAGTAAGTACTCTATACATTTAATTATTCAAATATTTTTATCTAGAAATGAAACCCCAAGCCTCATTTGCTTAATTTAATGAGAAACTGATAATAATCAATAAGGATGGAAATAGTCATGCTTTAAAAGCCATAATAATTAAAGGTAACTTTGAAAAGCAATATGCAATGACATGAGGACAGAAAGGAAAATATTGAATTTATGCAGATTGTAGGGGAAAACGATGAACTACATATTCTGTGAGGTTCTTGTACAGGGTCTCAAAGGATTACAAAGAAACAACGGGTGTTGCTAGGATCAAAGAAAAGCACTAGATTCTACAACTTGTACAAGACTTGTTGGAAATCAGCTCATCCCGTGTCTAACAGATGGCTAATCATTATCAGCTTCTAAAAGCTCTGTATACAATAATTCACCAGTTCATTTTGGAGACACTTGTGTTTTATTTACACTTTAATCAAAATGGCAAAAAGTTAAGATGCTGCTGTTATTGTAAACTCTAAGCTAGATTCACCATGCTAATACTACATATTCACTGGCAAAGCTAGCAATGACCAACCAGCTCAATGGAAATGCAAAGCAGCATAAAACTTTAGTTCATGGTGTTTTTATAAAAAAAAGAAGTGATATAAGACATCAGACGTTCAACAATGAAAAGTTCACCCTGCTCACAAAGCCACAACTGTTAGCTTAAATAAGCAGGTGTCCCTATTTTCTACTACCAGGTTCATAGGTTTGTATATTGCAGAAACACTTTGCATGAGATTCTCTCTTTTGCTAAGGACACTTTGAGCTGCATTAAGCAACATAAAATAAAGAGAGGGAAGCTGTGTGAGCAGCAAGGGGGTTTGCTCTTTGACTTTTGTTCAAGCTAGAGTGTCTGGGCTAATTGGCACTATCATTCAGCAGAGCTAATTAGCCTCATTAAGTGCCATTTGGGGGCAACAATACTGTTTCCTGCATATGAAACAACTACCTATATCTGTCCTGTGTGCTTCAGGGCACAACCTCTGGGTACAGTAAGTTTACCACATGCACACACAGGTTTCCAGTGGTGCAATTTAAAATTACAGAGTTCTGATAATCTTTTCATAATTAAATGCTGCAGCTAATATATTGTGAAAGACTAGATTTTTTACTTCTCTCCACGTTTCCTCAAACTAAAGTTCTTATTTGAAATTTCAGGGACAGCATTTTTAGTGCTTAAGCCCCTTTTCATAAATCTGGTGGAAATCAAGGAAATAATTTTAACTATTATGGTTTAGATTTTCTTATTCTTTTTTGCTTCAGCATTTTGTAACTTTTTGTCATACAATACTTAATAAGCATAAACATAGTCTTAAAAAATCTTCAAGAATTTAATTTAGAGATGTTTCTCCCATGAAATCAAAGTGGTTGGTCCTCACATTTTAATGATATTTGCATTTGCTTTTCTGTGAATATAGAAGTAGAGATAGGACATATGGATACACTTTATTTACATAAAAGCAATGCACATTTTTTAAATCCTTAAATTTTAAATACATTAAACATTTATATGGAATGTGAATAATCAGTAAGAAGCTTTTCAGTGTTTCTTTGTGAATGCTTAAACTCACCATATATATAAATAAAGGCATATTTTTAAATGTTTTCAAATGTCTTATGGCATTTGGGGAAATGGTAAAGTATGTGCCTGTGTGCAAAAAATGGGTATGTATAAGTCACTTTTCCTTCTTTTTTCTAGATTTGTGTCAGGTACATCATATTTAGAAATGTGTACATTGCATTTTAATTCCATCCAATTTCTTAGGGTTCCAGTTTTATACTGTTGTTGTTGTTATGCTTAAATTAGTATGGACAGGCTTGTTGGTAAGCAGACAGAATTCAGTTACTGATGGAAAATATTTTATACAAATCCAATGATAAACAGTTCTTTTTTTGTTTTGCTATGAATGTTTAATTTAAACATGTACTTAAATGAATACATGAGAACAAAGGATTTTTTCCCTTTTAGGATTAAACATTTTTGGTTATTTTAATGATACAATAATTACATTTAGTGAGTGCAGACACATACAATAAGAAAGAGATAGATACCGAACACTTTTGAAAATAAGCCCAGTTCCATTTGGATTCCTTAATATTGACTTATGTGCCTGACTTTAGGAACTAAAGTATGAGAAGGTTGAAATTTCATTTGTAGATCAGGAAATACCTGGAAATATTTTTTTTTCATTAAACCATGATGGAAAGCCAATAAAAAATAAGATGATCCCAAAACATGATGTTGTTTTACATAAAGAAAGAGAAAAAAAAAAGAATGCTCAAGGTAATTTAAATATGTAACTACAGAGATAAACTTACCTTCACAGAAAGGGGGTGAGCCCTCAAACTGCAATTGTGCATTCAGTTTGCAGGTCAATATGTCATTTCCAACCAAAGTGAAACCAGGATGGCACTTGTATTTGGCAAAGTCTCCTAAAAAGTTTCAGTAACAAAGACTTTCCTGAATACTTCTGTATTTTACATTATCTTTTATCATCTGATAATTATGCTACTTCCTTTCAAATGCATTTTTATAGAAGAAAAGAAAAAAGAATGTAGTAATTAATAGGGAAGTTAATATTAAAAATAGATAAACAAAAAATTATCTTATACTCTGCTGGGAAGATGGAGAAGCAAAGCAAAGAAAGATGTTCCCATTAAACTGGCATATTTGGCTCAAGTAAAAAAGAAAACTACCAGCATGAGGATGCCACAGAAAAATAGTCAGAATAAGGATGAGCTGTTGTAGTAGTTTAACTATATTTTAAATAAAGAATGAACAAAGCTCCTGTGCATGAAAAAATAAGAAGTTGCTCTGACCTATTTCAAAATCCTCGTCTTCTGTAAATAAATCAGCATGTGGAACTATTGGAGGAGGCTGGCACTTCTTAAGTTGATATGCTACAAAATAAAATGTAAGTACCAATACATACCATTAAATACTGATAAGATTTAATATATTGAAATAGTTCCAATTATTCAATAGGTCCATAATCATACAATTGTCTGTACATAGACATCTGTGCTACCATAGGCCCTTGGCACAGGGTTATATTTATGGCATGCTTAATGCATTAATCATGTCATAAATAGGAACGATGCCACATGTTCAACCAATTTTTGGTGCCATAAAGTGGTAAATATTCTACAAAAAATGTGAAACATCTTTGTGGCTAGTTTGTACGGCATCATAAATGGAACATGCAACATGCCCTCATCAGCTAACTGTCAGCCTCACCACTGATACTGAGGTCAGAGTCATGACAGCTCTGGTCCTGATGCTGCAAATTGGCTGCCGGGCAAGCCGGTTGAAAGGTTCCTGGAGGAGCTGACACCCCCTCCTCCCCCGCTCCCCACACAGGAGCCTCTCCTGCATTGCTCTGATAGAAGCTGTGGAGAAAGACAGTCAATGTGCCAAATCAGCCTCCCCCCTCAAGGAAAGTTCAAAACTGCTCACTTTCAGTCCTACACATGATGCTTTGGGCTGCAGCTCTGCAGTTGCCATGTGGGAAGAGCCAACTGTCTCCCCTCCCTGTGGCACTTACTTACAGCTTCCAGCAGGGCTTCCACTGCTCAGCTTTTAACTTACCTGTGCAGGTGGAACCTGGGATCCTGAACCTGGGCTTCAATTTACTGGCAGGTAGAAAAAGGTATCATTTGAATCCAAAAATCATGCATATGTGGCATGGCACAAGGTGCAAATGCTGGGATCAAGGATCAGATCCCAAGGCATCATTAAATTAATGTGTGCCTGGGGCCATATAGTGGTACACTGACTTTGAGACAGACAATTGTGGATTTGGGATCTAATTTTCAAAATTAAACATGGTAACTGAAGCATTATTGGCATTTATAAAGCAATGTTTAAAATACTTGTTATGGATATAAACATATACATACAATACAAATTAAATAATCAAATCCATCTGTAGTTTAAATGAACCTTGAGTAACTAAGAGGAAGTTTATACACTCCCCTACTGATTCAATTTTGTTCAGTGCACACCAAAGCCTGGAAATAAAGAAATGTAAGATGGTTTAACGTAACCATGAACACATGTGCAAGCCTTATCTCAGGTAGGTTTGTTGGCATGCATTCAAAGTGACAACAATATGGTCATGCAGCCTAGTATGTGGATTTCAGCGGTTTTCCTGAGGTAATCCCAAAGGAAGGGTTAGACATAAGCTAAGAATCAATCTGACTTAATAGATATTTAACTCTAACAGAAAACAAAGTCAAATAAGTGTAGAATTTGTTTGTTTGTTTATATGCTTGGTTGTTTGTCATGGCTTCCTCTCCAGATCTTCAGATTTGTTGAGGTTTGTGTAATCTCTTATATTTTAGGTGAATTCTAGGTTAAATCCTAGACATATGTCTGCTAACCAACGTTTCTTGTTGTGCAGTTCCATTGGAAAAGTTAATACTACTACAATTACTAGCATGTTTTCAAGTCTGGACATGTACTTTGTTTTTATTTCTACTAACCATTTACTACTTGATTGTCTCTCATAACCAAAGATGTATTAGCTCCAAAATGAAGATGTGATGTCAGTATGGAACAAGAGAGCACATATTGTATAAATCTCTCTTCTTCCACAGAAACCAGGCTTGGTTAAGAACACAGATGCTCCCTGCATCTTCCAAATCCCCTCCCCACTTGCCAAGTTACAGAAGTTAAGAACAAACAAACAAAACATATTGTTCATTAGTTCTCATCTCCAGCTCTCTATAGCAGATGTAAATTACTGCCTGTAACTGTATTTTTGCAGACACTGAACAGGGAAAAAGATGGGCTATAATCCACAAACAAAGAGCTGCTAAAGAAGGGGAAAACAGGTGCATAAAAGAATCCTATTTCTGACTAGGTTTGTGCTTCTGGTGGAAAAACTTACCGAGTGTGGCATATATAGACATTTGAATGCTGAGGCCCTAAAGTGTGGGGAGCTTGCATTGCTGACACTGTGCAGACAGAGGGGGCTCCTTTGCACACATCTCAGCATGCTCTGAAAGCTCCCTTAAGTCTGTCTAGACACATGTGGCAGAAGTGCATAGGGCATCCCTGATGTATTGTGCTTCTGCTGGAGCATCATAATCCAGCAACTGACATACTGTCTTCTGGAAAGGGGGAGGAGGGGATGCTGGATGACTATATTCTCTTTTGAGAGAGCCACAGCATGAACAGACATTCACTCTCTCAGGAGAAATTCTCCTGGGATTGATTTAACCATGGTTATTCCCAGGTGATTTTTTTTTTCTGGAGCAGCCATTTTTATTCTGGGAGAAAAAGCCTGAACATATGTACACTTATAGTTTCTCCTGAGAGAACAGCAACTCTCCCAGGAGAAACTGAATATCTGTATGAGGCCCTGGTTTCACATAAATAAGACAAGTCTTTCATAAGAGATAAGTCAAAATTGACCTTAAAATAATAACAATAAAAATAATTATTGAGATTTTTTTTCCTGAAAATACGAGACCAATTCACTACAGATTTGACAAAATGATCATGAAAATCTGTAATGTTCAATTAAAATAGCAGGCCATAAAAACTAATACATTTATCTTAAGATCAGCAAGGGCACAAGTAGTTAAGGAATAACTGAAAAAGAAAGAAAGAAAGAACATACATATACTTTGATTCCCAGAAGAAAAGTAAACTATAGAATATTGAACAAACTGACCATGAAAATTGAGGACAAAGAATCCTCCAGTTGAAAAGTCACTATGAAATTTGAGAAGGGCCTGGTTGGTTGAGCTGTAAGCTGTTTCAAGAGCTGTATTGCCACTGAAAACTCCCAGCTGAGGTGAATTCTGGTCAGGACCATCCCTAGGGACCAAAGTAAAGAAATCAGTCAGTGAAAACCTACAATTAAGGTTAAATTAGCAATCTATTTTCTCCTGACAGCAGACTAAATCTTTGAGAAAGCAGGTTAATTCTAACTATTGTACTTGAGGTTACTTCATTTATATTCAAGACTATGAAGGCAATGTTGAACATTCTTTCTAACGTCAAAGCCTGATCTTTGTAGAGAAGGTTAGGGAAATTGTATAGCAGATTTTATATTAGTTCAGGCAGGTTATTTGCTGGCTTCTTTTAGAGCAGCTGGGCCTTTCTACACCCATCATGTTTCTGAATGTCTTTTATATAAGTCTTTTGTATTTCAGTAAAATATGAACCTTTAAGTAAATCAGGGAAATTATTTCAGTCTCCTTTATTCCCAGTAACTTTTATTATTAAGGGCATTTTTACAATTTTTAAAAAATGTTTTTGTGCCAAACTAGTTACCCATGTAAATAGTTCTACTGAAGTCAAAGGAGTAAGCATGTGTAGGATGACATAATTTTAATTCATTCTATTCATTGTGGATTTGTGTTAAGAAAGAAGAATAAGAGGTCTTTACTTCACAACAGCAAAAGAGGTGCTCATAGAGACATACTCATATGCAGCTAATTTCACTTTGAATATCATCATATAAACACATTTCAGATAAAACACTATTCCAAAATAAAAGCAGCTAATTGCTATCACTGAAGAATTTCCAAGCTGTGTAAGTCTATTTTTGTGAAACTGTTGTATGCTAGAACTACTGAATCTATGATGAATTAAGCTTTTGTGATATGTACTTTAGTACACTAGAGATTAAGCAAAGATTTCCAGCAATCACTTAGCTTCTGACCTTCTGCTCTCTTTAGATCAAAAGGATATTTCCTCACTTCAGTCTGTGATGAGTTCAGTCCTACTTCTCACACATGAAAAGCCAATAAATTAATTTATTTCTTTTCTATTTCAAACTTATAAAGTAAGCTTTCTGATCATAATCAGGTCATTCAATATAGCCACAAACTACTTAAAGATATACAAGTATCGAAAAGATTTTATGTATAGAACTATCATTTGCAAAGTGAGTTTCCTGCACTTACCACTATACCACTGAAATACTTATTTTATCCTCTAATGGGAGCATGTATTTCCTCTCTGGCATTAGTGACAAAAATAAACTAATAATTAACAGTAACAGGGTGCTGAGATTTTCCCTTTTATTTCTCTTACCAGTGAATTACAGTATCATTTTCAAAGTAATGTATATTCAATGTGACCTCTGCATTTTAATTAATGGTTTAATCTTAAAAGGTAAAAACAATGTTACTACAGGTCTGCAAGATATGGGAATATATATATTCATGCATGCATATATACATACATACATACATACATGTATATATGTATGTGTATAGCATATGTTATTGTTTTATTTTATAATATTTAGACAATGCATATGGGGAACTACTATTCCTAAGCAGTTGGACTTACCTGTCAGTTACTGTCCTGCACATGGTCTTAGTATGAATGTAGTGACAGTTATAATTTAAAGATGCTCCCTAATTTAGAAGAGTTGCTAAGCAAGAGGTGGTTCCTTACTTAAAAGCTAACTACCTAGTTACTCACTTAGCAAGAAAGACAAAGAGTCTTCAGATACTGCATAATGCTCCACAAATTAAAGTGTGTTGCTCTTCTAATTTACATATACCTCTGTTGATTGAACCCAGTGATCACTATACTAACCAGGTTGTTTTAAACTTGATCATATGTATTCATATAAAGTTTTCTCATGTATAATGTAATATAATATAAAATATTACTTTTGTATTTCAATATATACTTTCAAATATGGTATATTTTAACAACATTATCACAGTTCCACTAACAGTCTATCCTAGCTGAAGACAACAGTGCCTTCAGTGTTTTCAATGATACAATATAGGGTGGCATGTCTCTGTAGAAACAGGTCTCTATGGAGCCAAGGGGAAAAGGACCTGTTCAATAAGGATGGAAATGTAAAGGTTTTCCTTCATAAGCCATACAATTTTTTTAGACCTTTCTAATACTTTTAATTGTTTATGTACTATCTGTGAAGAGGAATTTACTCTCTGGTTACAGGCAATCACACTTGGTAGGTACACTGTGTATTTTGATCCTCTAAAAGACTTCTCTTCAAAAACATGTACATTTAAATGTCAATATATATATCCAAACAGACAGGTTTAAAAATGGAGGCATTTCTAGGATTTTGCATTTGGGTTAATAAATAATTTTCTATGGGAGAAGATCATTTGCCTAAGCACTATCTTGCTCTTTAAATTTAAATTTAAATTTTCAAAGAGGATATAATGTGATATATTTTAGATTTGCACTGATCATTATAGCAACAGATTTAGCATTGTATATAATAGTGTACATATAGGTAACTCAATTAAACATACACAGACTATCTCATCTGTTTTACCAGAACTGCCTCACATAGAAAATACCACCATTTAAAGGTACAGTAAGCTGGGTGGCATTTCTCAACCTATTCTAAGCAAAACACTGCTGCTTAATAGAACCTTTGTTTTTTTCTAACTTTCTACAATTCAAATTGGAGTTCATATACAAGCTTTTGCTAACTGGGCTTAAGTATATAGATATTTTTTAAAAAGCAAGTCTTATAGATAAGATTATGTCAATAAAATTAGTTATGTTGAACTTGTTCTATGCATTTACTGTTCACCTATATTCTATCTCTTGTTAAATTTACTCTTAATCATGCTATTTCTCTGGAACTGATATTGCTCTGTATGTAACAATACCAACTCATAGGAATAGACATAGAGTCAAAGTTAAATCAAACAGAAACCAATCATTTGCGTTAAAAGGTCACATACCAAACTGCTATATAGTCATTCACTGGTTCAGTTTGGAGTAAGGTGAAGTTGATATAAATTCCATGACCCTGAGGCACAGAAATAAGCCATGTACAGTCCTTTGAATTTGGATATTCATCTGGAAATCCTGGGGAATAAACTGTACCATTCTGAGAGGTTACATTATAGCCACAAGGAGCTGAAAAGAAAATAAATGACAAATTAAAAGGAGGAATATATTTACTGCTTAAATACTTATAGCAAAATGCCCCAACATTTTAGTAGCTCTGCAGGACAAATTAATCTAGGTCTTCAAGAGAACAATTTTCCTTGGTTGGTTGTCTCTCAGTGATAAGAGGATTTATTCCTAAGAAATAACTTACTCCTGATGAATTTCAGATTATATTGCTTAAAACCCCTCAGAATCTGTTCAAAATATTGCTTTTGTACAACTGTTCTGAAATGAAGTTATTATTCATTAAACGTAGTCTTTTCCCCTGTTTTATTTTATGTAGGAATTAAAAAAAAATTCTGAAACTGAACCCTAACTAGAACTGGTACAAAATTCCAAAAATAGCTTTAGCACTGACTATAAGCACAAATGTCAAAACATTTATCTCAGTTCTCCACCATGTTTAATGATACTTTAAATTGCAGTTTGTGGATTGATTATTCTTTTTTGACAAGTGCAATTAAGATCGACATAGGCATAAATTAGCATATACTTGCATAATGACATTCTGGGACAATTTTGTAGCTTGGACATGAAGCTGACATTATTTAAAGGTGACTAATATTTAAGGAGGTATCATCTTATGTACCAAAAATCAATTATTATGGACTGAAGTGGGGAAATGCTTAAATAGGTAGCCAGGAGTATCAAGTATCAACAAGGTAAATATTTAGCCTTAGTTGGCTACATTTTATTTTGTGCTGTGTACATGTGTATCAAAGAAAGAAGTTTTCCATATATCTCTGCACACTACATCTACCCATTCACTCTTCCCAGTGTCCTTGGATATCCTGAGATTTAATACCACACCCTCCAGCCAAATTTTATGTACATGTCCTTCCTAAGTCAAACCTATTCTGTACGTTTGGTGTTGGTGGGACAAATAAAATGAGGGAAATTAATGGATTATAAGTGTTATGCTATTAGGAGAGTTTGTGGGTTTGTGAAGGGTAATCCCTTGTGTGGTTCTTCTACATTTTTTCACATGCCACTCAACATGTAGGTCACAGGTGGTCAACTTGTGGCATGTGCAGCCTCTGTGTGGGGCATGTGTCAGACTGGAGAGAGGACAGGCAGGACAGTGATAGACAGGGCAGGCAGTGGAAAGCAGATCAGGAAATGAGGAGGGAAGCACAGGGTAGGAAGCAGAAAGCAGAGCAGCAACTTGGTCAGGGAGTATGGTGCTGGGAGCGAAAAGGTGAACACCAGACTGAGTAAGGGAAAGGGATTAGAGTGGCACTCAGGGAGGATGCATCCCTGCCAAAAATGTTGGCCCCCACTGATGGAAGTCATGTGTAGCAGGAACTGAACTGATGTAGCTGTTGTTAACATAGAGTGTAATAGTAGTGAAATGTAACCATGTTAGTCTTGTCCTGTAAGTAGCTTGAACACTCCATTTTATATTCTTTTGCTTGACATAAGTGAATGAACTCTGTATGCCCTTTTTGAATGAGTGTATGTGAAACGGTGAATGGTGAGAGAATGGCATAGAAACAGGAGAAAAAGATTTAACTGTTTATGCAAGGAACAAGGTGCCAAATGTAAGTTACCAGTCAGTAAACTAATTAATGGGTGGCTAAAGAATCCCTTTGAGGCCTAGGGCGCAAAGGAGATAATGGTGGGCATTAAACTAGCTTTGCTGGGGGAAGGGGCCTCTCTGAGTGGAGAGGCTGCTTCACCAGCATGCAGGGTGACAAGAGAAAGGAATGCCCAGGTAAGCAACAATGTCCTGGGAGTAGGGGGCCTCAACTGTCCTGTGAGTTGGGGGGAGGCGTGTGTACCCTCAAGGGACCTCAAGTGCCTCTACACTAATGCTCGTAGTATGGGGAACAAGCAGGAGGAACTGTGCCTCCTGATTGCGAGTAAGAATCCAGACTTAGTAGGGCTCACAGAAACCTGGTGGGACCCCACCATGACTGGGCAGTGAGCATTTGGGGATACACCCTATATAGAAGTGACAAGACAGAGAGGAAAGGTGGGGGGGGTCACGCTTTATGTCAAAGAGCACCTCACAACATCAAGGATTAGCTTCAGATTAGAGGAGCAGCTGGAGTACTGCATCCAGTTTTGGGCCCCACAATTCAAAAAGGATGTGGAGAAGCCTGAGAGAGTCCAGAGGAGAGCCACGTGCATGATCAGAGGTCAGGAAACAGAACTTGTCTATGAAATCTATGAGGGTCGGGTGGAGACACTGTGGGTCAAACTACAAGGGGGGCATGGTGAAAGGGGGTGTCTACTACAGACCACCCAACCAGGGGGAAGAGCTGGACCAGGACTTCTCTGGTCAGCTTATGGAGGTGGTTAGGTCAAGGAATGTTATTGTAATGGGTGACCTAAACTACGCAGACATTTGCTGAGAGGAGCAGACAGCCAGGTCTGATTGCTCACATAGGTTCCTGGCTGTATTACAGGACCTTCACCTTATCCAGGAGGTGCACAGCCCCACTAGGTTGATTGCCTTGCTGGACCTGGTTCTGGCCACTGGGGATAACCTGGTGAGGGGACTGCAGGTCTTTGACTACCTGGGCAATAGCGATTATCACCTGCTGGAATTCACTATCCAATGCAGGGTGTCAAGGGCTTACAGGAAGACTAAAGCCCATGACTTCAGAAGGACCAACTTCAATGAGCTTTGGAGATTAATTGGGGAGGCACTGAGGGCCCAGAAGGTAGAGGAGATGGGAGTCCATGAGGGGTGGTTGTACCTTAAGGGAACAATCCTCCAGGGCCAAAGGGTAACAGTCCCTGAGAAGCAAGCTGGGTAAGAGTGCTCAGAAACCTCCTTGGCACAGCAAGGGCATTCAGGAAT